AAGCCTTGCTGATATCACAGAATACTGCTCGAATTTCTTTGCCCGAGTCTAGAGCTTTACCAAAGTCGTTAGATATACTAAGTAATTGGTTTATAGTAGAGTCGCCGGGTGTGAATCCTGATTGACAGCTAGTAAAAAGGCTATTTTGACGAAGAAAATTGTACAAATATTTAAATACGCAGCGTTCAAATACTTATTCCATGACGACGGATATTTAGACATGGCAAGACATTTATTAATTTTTTTTAAGACGTTGGGGCTGACTAGGTCGGGTCCAACTGCTGTGGACGGACCATGTTCCATTACGTACCTTTGATTTTGTGCATATGCGTGAACACTGCAGGAACCTAAAAGCTGTTGGCAAATTGAAAGGTCTTTAACTTTTCTTAATTTGTTAAAGTACAAATATTTTCATAAGTGTCATGACTTAGGGCGATTATGTCAAGCCCAAGCACGAGAAAGCCAATTAATTAAATGAATTAAACATTGAAATTTCATTCCAAATTTCCTTAAGCTGGTGGTACCACCAGTATTATCTTCAAGCATTTGTTATCGATTAAGACCTACGTTTGTGACAGCTAGAACTGGCGCGTTGATTGGTATCATAAAGTCGATTGAAGTTACAATGTAGCTAATCCGCATTAGCGGAAGGGAGATAAGAAAGACGTTTTTGCTAAGATATCTTTTATCATGAGGCGTGTAATTATCGTCTGAACATAGCATCTGTGCACTTGTTTCAAGCAGAGTTTCAATAGCTTTCAAATTTGATTTTCTACAGAGTGCAGAGGGTATAGTATTTTTCGAAAAAGCGAGATTACAATTAAACACTGTATATTTACATTTGCATGGCATTGTGACTATATAGCCTCTTTGAAAGCTGTGTCGTTGATGGGACTTTAATTACCATGCAGCACGAGACACAATTCTTAGCCTATTTAAACAAGACGGCTGTGGAAATATCGCTGGGCATTGTGAGAATTGACAATGTAGTTGTAAATTTATGTGCAAAAAGATAAAGAAAATATAAATAAAAAACTTTTATTAAAACAAAAACAAGAGCAAGGTCTGCAATATCGTACAAAATGCCAAAATAAAATCACCAATGCCGGCAATGGAAACAATTTTAACACTCGTGCAATTTATCAGAAATATCGTCTGTTAGACTGCACTGACCAACAGGGGTTCGTTACAAATGTCTGAAATACACATATGCTTGTAGACCTACTGACACATATGTTACAGACCTACTGATATGAGTCACAGCACACATAAACATTTCAAACATTTGTAACGAACCTCTGCTCTCCGTCGCAAGATCACTCACTTCAAACGCGATCAGTTTCACGCGTCTCGCAGCCTCGATTTACTCAGTTTCTGACGATATGTCAAATAACGAGGCTGTTATAGAATCTACCGACTGTAGTCAGATTCCCATACAATCAACAAGTAAATTCACGTCTGGATTCTTCACAAATTCGAACATTTCTCTTTGCTCATTTCATTTAAAAAAATAACTCCCTCGTGGATGGCAAGGTCGGATTTACGGTGATTGTATTTATCCATGCAAGAAATTTGTTCCGGGAAAAATAGAAACAACTTCAAATCTAACTTTCAGCTCAGATTTCTATTGATAAACTTAAATCAAACTATAGAAATATCATACGCAATTGTATTTATACTGAATTGTGGAATAAATTTGAAGTGTTTGATAAATCTCAAAGTATTATTTTGTTTGCCAATCAGCACGCGACAACACGCTGTTCCAACTATTGAACGAATTTGTGTGGACTATCGATAGGGCGGGAATTTTAAATTTTAAATATCAATTTTAAGTTAAAAAAGAACATCAGAGGCAGAGAAAACGTAAATATAAGTATTGAACTGTTTTTGTATGGTGTTTATGATCTATTTCAATGACACACCTTTCCAAGCTAACAAATCATAAACCGCGCTACAGTTCAATGCTTAAATTTAAATTAAAGGGCTCCCCTGCAATACTTGCTATTTACTACCTCAATGTTACACACCTGGATGTTAAATTCAATTTGATTGGCACCTAATATAATTACGACATCAAAGACTCTTTTAAAGGCTAAACAAATTAAAGTATTATCATTTAAAATGTAACACCTTAAAAAAACAAAGTCAAATAGGAAGTAGGTATCTGTTGGGTGTTTAACATGAAGAAGATCTGGAGTATAACTGTCTGTCTGTCTCTTTCTGACTACTTTCGTTTCTCTTATTCCTAAAGACAGTACAGCTTTAAATATGAGGCGGTAAGGACTGGAAAGCTCGTTATCAGTATAGTGTGATCTGTAGAGTGTAGTCCTAACGTGTATAGGTAGTGACATTTCTTTGGGATTGTACTTTAAAGTCACCCAGTCACCCGTGGACACCATCTTAATATGGCCTTAGCTGTAGACAGGACGTACAACCAACCAAACAAAATTCATTTTACCTGATGAAAATAAATTCTCATATTTATGATCACTTAATGAAGCATTAATGAACTGGGATCTAGCTTTTTGATGTAAGTATAATACATGTATATTCCGTCCTTTCTTTTATTAGTGAAGCAAAATTCTTTGATACATATACAGGACAAAGAGGAAAACAGTACTACAGTGTCATACAGTATATGTTATAATCCTTACTTAATGACTTATTCAGAAGTCCGTCTTTAGTCCGTCCATAAGTAGATGGTTATAAATATACAGAGTATGTACCGGTCTATACATGGTGTCTATACTCTTTGAAGCGTATCAAAGGAAACTCTGTTAGACTTACCACAAAGGGAATATTCACCTCACATTTTGCTCAAAGAGAGTGACCATTGTGTGAATACTTCCGATATTTCTATAAAAGAAGGTGTTTTAGGGCAATGCCCCTTTAAAATGTTTGTCGTACAAACAGACGCTTCTTGGGGAGTGATTTTCAAAATCGAGTGCAAAATAATCTTTAATTTTCAGTCGGTGAGAATTATATTTGTCGAATCTTCTAATAACCCAGCACTTGTTATGTTTACCACTGTGTTTAATGTCTTAACTAACCAACCTATATAAGAAGTGCTGGTATGTTACATAGTTCACCATTCTTTATTACATTGCCTTTTATGTGACTCAGAACGTGTTCTAATGGACGATCGAGAGAGCTGCAATGCATCATGGGAAAGTGTCTTTTAAACTTAAAATGGTTGGCCGCCATCTTGGTTTTGCTGTTCAAGAAGTGACACAAACACGAGGACATAATGTTCGTAATGATCATCAAACACAAGAAGAGTCTCTGTTCGATACACAAGTCATAGAACAACAGCAGATTTTTGATTGTTAATATTGAACTGAACCAAAATGGTGTCTTTCTGAAACGTTCAATATGGCTCGCAATAAAAATGGCGCCAAACGTTTACGAATACTCAAAAGTTTTTTTTCAAATTGTGGGATAGGGTATGTCTTAAATACCATAAATATCTGTTGATAACTACAATATAGTTCCAAGTATTTACAAACTTACTCACTGTCTCAGTAGACATATGTTATAGCATGTCTGAATCGTGAGACCATGTACTAGTTAAGTCACGGACTTAGATAACTTAGACAAATTGTTGTGTTACAAAATAAAATCATCAAATATTATGAATTTAAAAGTGTAGGTTACTAATGCATCTATGAGTCTCCATTTTAGTACGAGGCTTGTTTTGGATAATAAAGATTTGCATTCCCTCGTTACCTTGAAGTAGTTATTTTAAAGCGGGTTCTGAAAAAAAACACCGTTCATGTTCTTCTTAACACATGTCTAATTCAAAACGCCAACATCATCCTTTCGTGGATTGGTACATTTTGAAAATCATCTAAATAAAGTTCGCCAATTTAGAAACCACCAGTGTGATATTTAAGAATGAGTATATGTTCTTTATTTTGAAATTTCAATTAAACTATTTTATATCAATTTACACAATTACGCCTATTTCTCGCTACACCTCTACGTGAATAGATATAGATCGGCACTCCCAATCGATATTGACTGAGGTATGTATTGAGTTCCTGTCTATTTCTGTATTATATCACGCTGTCCTGTAAGGCGTATCTGTCCAAACATCTAATGGGCGAATTTTAATGGTGTGGTATATACACCTCAAACGCAGTAAAGCCGGGTAACTACGAAATAGCAATGAAATATGATATAGAAATATAATTTGTTTTATGGGAAAAGTAGATGACAAAACGCCACAGATATTTGATTTGGAATTAATTGGATTTTTACGATACGACAGTAGAGAGAATTTAGGATATTATTTCAAAATAATGACAGCTGATGGTTCTAATCCATGCTAGCAGTACGTATAGTGAAACTATAGATAAAGCACAGTCATTTGTCATATTGTCGACTGGGCTAAATTGCGGACCTCTGAGCTGTATAATTGATACGTTGTCATTTCACTGGGCCCAGCGGATGTTAGACATCAGTGTTCGTCAGGACACCACAGAGAGGCCGCCACTCAACAAGCTGCTTGAAACACCAGTACTGGAATATCTGACCGTGACAGCCAGCTGACGGTTCGACCAGACCTGGTCATTTATGTAACTGTCAGGCCTTTGTGTCAAATGCGTTACGTTCTGACCCATGTAACGTCAGATGTGTGCTTGTCACCCTTAATAATTCAGTGTGCAGATGTCTAAACAGTTACCAGGTATACAACTGTTCGTAAATGACGTCTCCGAAAGCGTTTAGCAGACAGCTAATGGAAAACAGTTGTGGCTTATCTCGAGGCATGATTTGTGAAAATGTATAATTTCATTTTGGATTTAAACGACTGGTATTGACAAAATATCGCTGTCAATTTTTTTATGTAAAATATCTACGATCGAATATCATGAAAAAAATAACTATCCATGCATTATTAAGTTATTGAAAACTGCTGATCCCATTTGCAAATTTTGGAAACAGCATGTTCATTGCATTAATTGTATCTGCTCAGTTGCACAAAACTAATGAAACTGCATTATAATTTCGGATTATGGATATTTTGATAATTTCGTTGACGGCTGTACACTCCCGATAGTATCAGCGGACGGAACACTATGTTTTACATGTCCAAATTCGTTTAACACACAGACAAAAAAATCCGGATTTATCTGCGATAGTTAACTGTTTACGCCTGTTTGTTCTGTAACTAATTTGAGATACGGCCGCTGAAGTGTTGACTTTGTTTTCTGTACGTAACAGAAGACTTGAGATGGTATTTATATCTTTGCTCTCGACTGGAATAGTTGGGTGACATTCTGGTTACGACTTCTAGACGGAACTACATTGTATGGGTACTTCGTTTTCATATCACTTCGTTTATTTTTAAATAGTTTGATATTTCTTGGAAAAAATAACAACACAGCAAATTAACAATAGCCCATAGCTGTTGTCTATCGCACACTAACGAGGTACACCACCGCCCAGTATGGAGTTGAAGAATGTTGGCGTGTCCATAGTTTATAATGTCGTGGACACGGTGGAACCTTGTGTCAACACCTGCCTCTCTTTGACCGGATGTGTCTCCACAGAAACCTGCCGGAAGTACATAGAGGATTACATTTTCCCGCGTCCTTTGGAATGGGCCTTTATAGCTGTGTACGGGATTCTGTTCTTGTTTGGTTTAATAGGAAATGCTCTTGTCTGTTATGTAATATGCCATAGCCATCATATGCAAACTGTCGTCAACATTTTCATCTTCAACCTTGCCGTTGCGGATTTCCTCGTCATATTTTTCTGTCTGCCAACTACCATGTTAGCAGACATTACAGAGACGTGGTATTTCGGTGACATTATGTGCAAAATCATACCGTTTCTACAGGTAAGTGCGAATCTTGCTACTATACAAATAAACCAGCATGAAATAGCAATATATAATAATATTATCCATCAATGTAATTTTAAATGCAGATGATTGCATTAAAGCAATTTGATATTTTCTCAATTAGAACTATCACATTTTTGTTTTATGAACAACAATGCATTATTTAAATGGTATGATAGAATTAAGCTGGCAAACGAAATCAATGTTTCTGCCATCACTCGCTGGTGTCAGGTGGACAAACTGGTATCGAATGTAAAAACCCCACAACCTGGCTCAATATACAGAAATAAATCAAATTTCGCTTATAATCATATTTACGCAAAACTTACATTCGTTTATATAATGACAGTAAACATGGGGATACGAGTTCTGACGACCAATTACAAATTACTTCCTGGTGATTTAGTCTATGGGTTAAAAATTCTCACACGGCGGTTTTAGGTCTTCGATTCAACGATGTTTAATGTAACCCAGCTAATGGAAAACCCCATACAAGAACATCATTGTTTTATTTACGTGAAAATTGATCACAACCTTTAAACTAAAATGTATTGATTGCCAGTATAATACGTAATCAATATACGACTTCAATCAAATAATAACACCGACACGCCAAGGACAATAACAACATACAAAAAGTGATCTCCTTCAAATGTCAATTTGTAGAGAAATCGGATTTTTGTGCGAACGAAATACATATGCAATTTGTATATTGAAACTTAAAAAAAATCCACTACTTACTGGTTCCAATATAAAGCAAAATTCATGTATAGTTCAACCAGATACATTTATAACTGCAAGTACGTACACATCTAGGTCTACCGTATGTATAAACAGTCTTGTTGTTTTCTACTGTATGACTAAAAGTGATGTTTACTTTCACTGTATAGCGAAAAGTGATGTTAAGTTTCACTGTATGACAAACAGCCATGTCTAGTTTCATTGTATAGCCAAATGTCATGATTAGTTTCACTGTATAGCATAGCGAAAAGTCATGATTAGTTTCACTGTATAGCATAGCGAAAAGTCATGATTAGTTTCACTGTATAGCATAGCGAAAAGTGATGTTTAGTTTCACTGTAAGAGGAGAAGTCATGTTCAGTTTCACTGTATGACAAAAAGTGATGTTTAGTTTCACTGTAAGACGAGAGGTCATGTTCAGTTTCACTGTATATCGAAAAGTGATGTTTAGTTTCAGTGTATGACAAAAAGTGATGTTTAGTTTCACTGTAAGACGAGAGGTCATGTTCAGTTTCACTGTATATCGAAAAGTGATGTTTAGTTTCACTGTATGACAAAAAGTGATGTTTAGTTTCTCTGTTTGTCAAAAAGTGATGTTTAGTTTCACTGTAAGACAAGAAGTCATGATTAGTTTCACTGTATATCGAAAAGTGATGTTTAGTTTCAGTGTATGACAAAAAGTGATGTTTAGTTTCACTGTATATCGAAAAGTGATGTTTAGTTTCACTGTAAGACAAGAAGTCATGATTAGTTTCACTGTATATCGAAAAGGTATGTTTAGTTTCAGTGTATGACAAAAAGTGATGTTTAGTTTCACTGTATATCGAAAAGTGATCTTTAGTTTCACTGTAAGACAAGAAGTCATGATTAGTTTCACTGTATAGCGAAAAGTGATGTTTAGTCTCACTGTAAACAAAAAGTGATGTTTAATTCACTGTAAGACAAGAAGTCATGATTAGTTTCACTGTATAGCGAAAAGTGATGTTTAGTTTCACTGTAGGACAAGAAGTCATGATTAGTTTCACTGTATATCGAAAAGCGATGTTTAGTTTCAGTGTATGACAAAAAGTGATGTTTAGTTTCACTGTATGACAAAAAGTGATGTTTAGTTTCACTGTATATCGAAAAGTGATGTTTAGTTTCACTGAAAGACAAGAAGTCATGATTAGTTTCACTGTATAGCGAAAAGTGATGTTTAGTTTCACTGTATGACAAAAAGTGATGTTTAGTTTCACTGAAAGACAAGAAGTCATGATTAGTTTCACTGTATAGCGAAAAGTGATGTTTAGTCTCACTGTAAACAAAAAGTGATGTTTAATTCACTGTAAGACCAGAAGTCATGATTAGTTTCACTGTATATCGAAAAGTGATGTTTAGTTTCACTGTATAGCATAAAGTGATGTTTAGATTCACTGTAAGACAAGAAGTCATGATTAGTTTTACTGTCAGACAAGAAGTCATGTTTAGTTTCACTGTAAGGCAAGAAGTCATGTTTAGTTTCACTGTAAAACAAGAAGTCATGTTTAGTTTCAATGTAAGACAAGAAGTCATGTTTAGTTTCACTGTAAGACAAGAAGGCATGTTTAGTTTCACTGTAAGACAAGAAGTCATTTTTAGTTTCACTGTAGGACAGGAAGTCATGTTTAATTTCCCTGTAAGACAAGAAGTCATGTTTAGTTTCACTGTAAGGCAAGAAGTCATGTTTAGTTTCACTGTAAGACAAGAAGGCATGTTTAGTTTCACTGTAAGACAAGAAGTCATGTTTAGTTTCACTGTAGGACACGAAGTCATGTTTAATTTCACTGTAAGACAAGAAGTCATGTTTAGTTTCACTGTAAGACGAGAAGTCATGTTCAGTTTCACTGTATAGCGAAAAGTGATGTTTAGTTTCACTGTAAACAAAAAGTCATGTTTAATTCACTGTAAGACAAGAAGTCATGATTAGTTTCACTGTATATCGAAAAGTGATGTTTAGTTTCAGTGTATGACAAAAAGTGATGTTTAGTTTCACTGTAAGACAAGAAGTCATGTTTAGTTTCACTGTAAGGCAAGAAGTCATGTTTAGTTTCACTGTAAAACAAGAAGTCATGTTTAGTTTCACTGTAAGACAAGAAGTCATGTTTAGTTTCACTGTAGGACAGGAAGTCATGTTTAATTTCACTGTAAGACAAGAAGTCATGTTTAGTTTCACTGTAGGACAAGAAGTCATGTTTTTTTTCACTGTAAGACAAGAAGTCATGTTTAGTTTCACTGTAAGACAAGAAGTCATGCTTAGTTTCACTGTAAGACAAGAAGTCATGTTTAGTTTCACTGTAGGACAACAAGTCATGTTTTGTTTCACTGTAAGACAAGCAGTCATGTTTAGTTTCACTGTAGGACAAGAAGTCATGTTTAGTTTCACTGTAAGGCAAGAAGTCATGTTTAGTTTCACTTTATAGTGAAATGTTAAACTGTTGCGACTTTATTGTTCTATATCATCTATGATTCGTTAAAAAATGGATGGAAAGTTAATGAATTGTCCAGTGTCGTGTCATCCGCTTAGTTTGAGAAAGAGAATATAAAGCTGTTGTGGTGTGACTGTTCTAGATCGCCACTCAGTCGTCGATAGATGTTGGTCTGCCATTGTTGCTGAGCGTGTTACAGACGACACTGTAATGCGTAGCTAGTAGATTACACAGACAGTAGACAATCATTGAGTTTATCGAATGGAGTTCATAATATTATCACCAAATGTCTTTGGTAGACATATCTCCATAGCGCCACCAAGCGGTGATATTACAGTTGACAAGCTGGGCTATATTCTATCTTCGATAAGCTTTACGCGTACTGGCTTCCTATTAATTAAAAAATCCGTCCACAGTATTTCATTAGATCGCACGCAAACACGTAATTAAGACGGACGTTTGGAATTTGACGAATAGCATTTGAAACTACATTGTTATTATGTCACGATTGTTAAATATAAACACGATCTTTTCCACGATGATTTTATTACATCGAAATGCAATACGGTTCACCTTTATGACTGTATAATTTCGTAAGAGATGATGTCGGGAAGGACACTTAAATCCGGAAACTTTTTACCTCGGAGTGAAATCCAGCCGGTGAGTTACGTAGGCGACGCCGAAAGTGAAATCCAGCCGGTGAGTTACGTAGGCGACGCCGGAAGTGAAATCCAGCCGGTGAGTTACGTAGGCGACGCCGGAAGTTAGTTTTACGTTCTACTCCTTTTCGTAGCTTTCGCTAAAGAAAAACAAGTATGAGTTACTACTAGTTATTGACCTCTGTTCTGATTCAGATTCTTTATTTCCTTGTGTGTTTTCAGCACATAGAAGAGAAGACGTTACATAATATACAGAATTTTCAAATAATCAATGACATACACAATATTAGACATGTACATTATGAAAAGCAGTCTAACATATACATGCACTTTGATCTTACTTCATATTATAATGATATACATAATATTCTTATTCAGTTAGATGCAACAACACCCATCATAACAATACAACATATTACTTTCAAATACATTATGATATAGCAAGTCACAAGTTAATATCACACATCGTAACCGTAGAGTTGTATATAATGTTGTATAATACACTATACGTACTGATAGCACAGTATAATAAAGTTAGATCCATTAATATACAATGACTTTCATTAAAAAAAAATCAGCATTTTTCAATGAATTAAATAACGATCTATAACATCAATGATCAACGTCATACCCTATATTAGAGCACAGCTTATTACATTGATGTACACAAATGTGTAAAATGTGTACGAGTTGTCCACAAAATCGATGTCGATTTCGGCTACGCTGTAAGCGTATGCACAAAAGTTGTTATATATGTACCGAATTGACTCGATTCAGCTGAGCTTTATTAAATACTTGGTCATAGATGTGCGAGAGTATTTGGGCCCCTCGTCTCGATTTAGACGCCCACTGCGGCGTATCCAGATGGATTTCTTTATCTGCCGCTTGAACAGATTGCTCTCTCTGTCAAAAACTTTAGAGTTATCCCAGTAAATCACATGATTTTTCTGTGTGGCATGGTCTGTGATTGCCGATTGATTTATCTGGGACTCCGACTGCTTCCTTTCTGATCTGGTGAATTTTACTACCTTCTTGGGTTTCTGTGTATTTCCGGTGTTCACCAAGGCGGACCCCAAATCGCCTTCCAGTCTCTCCAATATACGACGCGTCGCAATTTACGCATCCGATTTTGTATACGCATTCAGAAGCGTCT